TTCTGTGTCCAGTCATAGAGTAAATTTACATGTTGGTCATGTGGTTGTAATCTATTTCAATCATCTGAGCATTTAACTGGACGATAGAGTACACAATCATCTGCGAAGAGGCAAATAGTGGAATTCACGTTGCTTGATGTGTCATTAATAAAGCACAGGAAAGAACTGGCCCAAGAATAGTGCCTTGTGGTATGCCAGACTGGACTCAAGTCCATCTAGATGCTCTGTTGTCCAGTATCACTCTCTGAGACCTTTTAGTTTGAAAATTCATAATCCATTTAATGTTTTTCTCACTGATACTATGTCTTAAGTTTTTGGCAGAAGGGGCTATGGGTGAACTTGATCAAGGGCCTTACCAAAGTCAAGGAAAATAACATCTACATTGTGTCCAGAATCCAGATGATTGCTCCTGTCATGTACTGTGTACATGTACCGATATCTAGCAATTGTGTTTCACAAAACTGTTTTTCTCTGAATCCGTGCTGATTGTCATTTAGTACATTGTGATCATTTAGATGGTTAATAATCTTGTCATAAACGATTCGCTCAAGAGTTTTACAAATGGCAGGGATGAGAGCGATGTGTCTCAAATTTTTTTTTGCAAATGTCATTTTTGCCTGACTCAAAGTTGAACACTTGCTTACACATGTATACATGTACCCACCATGCAACTCACAAACATTGATGAAGGCTGCTTTCTTCTTGGCCTGGGCTTAAACCCACGGAAAGAAATATTTTCAGTCTCTGGGAGCACTTGCCCCTCCCCCAAAGAAGTTTTGAGATCAAAACCTAATTGACAAAGTACTGAAGTAGCTTCACAAGAAATTTGCTTTTGCAGTTTTTTGTTCAGCCTTGTTTTGTTAGTATTCCTATGTTTTGCATTGGAAAACTTTTTCCGACAGTTATACCGGTATGTATGACACTTCCTTATACATGTATGATTAAGATCTGTGGTATTCTTCATCTGTCATCTCACTTATTTCCTGAACATGATGTGGATCATCTGTCCATCACCGCTTGCTTCTTAATTTGCTACTCTACTGCTGTAAGAGATGAGATCTTAACAGTAAACAGTGGCTTCGTTATTGGCCACCGGCTCCTAACATCAGTGCAAATATTAGACAGACCCGCTGCTCCCTTGCATAATGGTTACGAACAAGCAGGCCTGTGTTTACCGAGAGCCCCCGCTTCAATTGGTCTGCAGGACCTGCCATGCACCATCTTTTTTTTCCCTTAAGTATTTGTCATGGGAAGTGCTTCAATACAGTTGCGTAGCAGTTGTGTGGCAGTTGCTGTGAGCTGGGTAGGGTAGCTGTCATACTGTGTCTGGATGTTCTAATTTTTTTTCTCCTTTTTTTTGGGGGGGGAACATTTGACGAGACAGATGCGGATGTCTCCAGGAGAAATCTGGGGAAGGGAATGGAAGATGGAACGAAGGGGATTTATCGCAGCAATAGAAGATGGATTGGCGAAATGAATTTCAGTGAAATGAGAGACGAGGGCAAAATGACATGATTGGAAGATTGCTGGAAAAGCAGGTTGATGGAGCACTAATTTCTTGGGGGGGGATGGGAAGGAGAAATGTTTCTATGAGAGTTTTAGAGCCTGGTTTCTGGACTGAAATAATTTTTTGAGGGGTAGTTACAAAACTGCTTGGAAGATTATAATAAATGTATGTTTCCCTTTTGGGGGAAAATTAGTAGAAATTTGGGGATAGTGGAGATGTGCTATTTACATGTCTGTGTATGGTATTTGGGAATCCTCAGTGTTAAATTGTCTTGGTGCACTGTGTACATGTACATGTTCCTGCACACATGCATGATGCATACCAGTACATGTATGATTCAGGAATTACTGTTGACTTTTTGAGAATTGCTATAAAAAATCTAAATCTTTATTATTTTTTCACATCATTATTGGAATCAGGATTTCATTTGGATTGTACAGGCCAACCACAACCCTTATCACAGCATGTTCTTAAGAACGGGAGGGGATACATGCATGTGTATCTGTATATCTGCGTGACAAGTACCGTGTACATGCATACTGTACATGTTAATGTACATACAACTTTTGAAGGTTCAGGGAGTCCCTTTTCCAAATTGCCTGGGGAGTATCAGGTGAAAAAAATATTCAAATTTATGGATGTGAACCGCTTGAATTATTGTTCAGATAATTTATTCACCATTGATAATTTGACTAATGGAGGTGATGTTGGACAACAGGCGTCTGTGAGACGTACATGTATGGATGTCCTAGCTAGTGTAAGAAGGCCTTGCCTCCAGCCCTGGACGTCGTCGGCTTCTGCACTCCCTGGCTTCCTTCCACAGGGCATTGCAAGGCAGATTCTTATTAAAGTGTAATCATCTTTTTATAAAAAAAAAAGGGTTGGAGGGTGAAAGGATAAGCAGGGAGAAAGAGACAGCAGCCGAGGAATCATTACAAGCGGTGGAGTGAGGATTATTGGGATAATCCGTCTTGAGGCAGATTACGAGCATTTAGGGGTTGGCAGTGCTTGGCTACATTGTTTCATGTTTCTGTTGTGCGTTTCAGTTCATAATTTAATTTTTGTTTTGAAAGATATAAGAATGTCTTGAGATGTATCAGAGTTTACTAAAATTTCCGAAACTATTTTAAATGTCAAAGGAAAACTTGAAATGTTTCTTTCCTGCAAAAAGAGAAACACTTCTTCAGCAAAGCAACAGTAATCATACATGTAATGTGCTTCTCATGTGCTTGAGAATGTACATGGACATGTGCATGTAGCTCTCTATGCAAATGCCTCAAAGACTGTCAGGCCTTGGACTCAGACTAGCATTTACAATGTATGCTGAAGTTCAAGATCTGAGCAATCTGTTCTCTACTTGCACTGGTTTCTCTTGCTACTTCTTGATGGAGAGGATTCGGTTGTAAAGTGTCCTGCCCAAGAACACACGAGAACTATGGTATCATGTACATGTACACATACATGTACTCGTACAATTTTGTGCCTCTGCACACAAGACTTACATGTTTCAAATCATTAGATCATGAAACTGTACCCGATATAATTGTATCTCGTTAATTATAGACCTCTTAATTTTCTTCTTTGTTCTGATCATCATTACTACCACTGTTAACATTTCTCTCTCTCTCTGTTCCCATCATCTGAGCCGTCAACTGACTATAAAAATTACACCTGCATTAGAATCCCTTTACTTCAGAACTAGGAGGGGAAAAAGGCAAGATAAAAAACCTTTAAACGTTCCAGAGGATGGAAGCTGCGGATCCCGGCATCGGATGTTGTACAAGTGGCCATTAGGAACGGCCTTGTCGCGCAGCATGACAGGATCGCATTATGCATGTGCAGCAGTTTGGGATGGACAGAGGCGCTATGTGAAAAAAATTCTGCCCACAGCTGTTTTGACTGGGGCTTGATTGATGGGTCTTTTCATATCGTGTTTAATGTGAAATTGAGAAGGGATTCAGTCAGGCAACATTTTCAGGTATTAATTTTTCAGAGGTCAGAATTTGTATACAGGAGACTAGTGTGAGCACGGATGCTTTAAAGAGACCATCTGTGACTTGATGTTTTCAAGATAAACTTTAGTCGAAGGGAAGGTTTGACATTTTTCATGAAGGCTTTTCCGCCAGTAATACTTCGCTTCTCTAATAAATGACCTTGAAAGAGTAACCAAGATGGTTGTAGATGGTTACCGAGATGCACTTTCCAAAGAAGGATAAACATGTACATGGACAATTGGACATGTATTTGCAATTTATTGTACGTAGCTTTTTACTGTATGTAATTTCTGAGATATTAAAATCCTCTCTGAAAGGTGGAATTCAGCAAAATTCCAGGTCTAACAGCAAATTGGAAGTTCCCATTTGTACAAAGACTGAGACCAAGCATCCAGGATTTTGTCATCTGGAGAGGCAAGTTCCGGTAGTCTTTGTGCATTCTCCCTTGCAAATTTTATGGGAAGGCTACAGTACATGTGGGAGATTGCGGGTACTGGTAAATCATGCTGAAATTTTGTCTCCTAGAAACCCCCCATTTTTCTGTCTCAATTTTTTCTTCTTGAAACTTTGTTGAAAATTTCAGTGTTTTCTGCAGGTAAATCATCCTTAAAGTTTGTCTCCTGCACACAAAAAGTGCCTATTGTTTTTAGTCTACAAGTATCACTTTTACCTGGGGTTTGTTGAATGTTCAAACTTCTCTCCTGAAATAAAATTCGAGAACACTTGTTTCCTGGAATGCGAGTTCTGTACCAAGATGAGTGGCTATTAAAGTCAACCGCTCATCCCTTGTCTTTGTCATCTTAGATTCAATTAATTTTGAACCTGAGTGTCTCTGAGCACGCTGAAGTTTGAGCAGGTGCTGATGTTTGGCCCTGAATGTCCAACCTCGCCACTGTTGGAACAGGGCTTTCAAAGTTCAACAAGTCTGTGTTCCCAAGATAAGAAAGACAGAACAGTTCACATCTCTCCAACTTGCCGCATGCCGATCTGAGATGCGATTACACTTTGTCTGGATGTCATGCAGACTTACTCATGATGCCCCGTAGATTTCCTCTCCTTCCCCCCCCCCCTAGAAGGAGGGGGACCTTGCTATAAACTAGCCAATTAGAGCCAGGTATAGAAGTTTGTTAAGTGGTGTCGCGTGGCACGCATTCTCAGGCCCAGTAGGGGGTTAGTTGGGGCTCGTTAGTGGGACAGTTTGAGATGAGATGTGATCCAGACATGTCAGACAGGGGATGGGTAGTTGTCAAATTCAGAGAAGTGTTGACAGCTAAGGTTGCAGACAGGGCTGGTCATATTTGAATGTTTTTTTTTGAGTGTTTTGTGTCAAAACAATCCTACAGTTTTTATGTGGGATCTTGTGCATGTGCGTTGCCAGTGGCCATTTAAAAAAAGACGAAGGGTTTATCATTCTTTTAGCTTGTTTATATTCCATGTACAGTCTGTCACAGACCCCTTTTTAAATGCACTTTGTCCCACCTTTTTAATATTCTCTACAGGTCAAGAGAAAGTTTTCAAGTGCCTTGGGCTTGACATTCTAGACAACGCCTTCGAGGGATACAATGCATGCATCTTTGCTTATGGCCAAACAGGTAAACTTCAAAGGTTCTTTTCCCTGCTTGGTTTTTTTTTCTCTTTCTGACTTTTTCTTCCATGGCACTTTAATTGTTACATCTGAAGTGGGGAAAAATCATTTTCCAAAATTCTCAATTTTTACAAATTGACGAAAAAGAGGACATCTTAGGACATTTTCTTTTTGAATACATGTACCGGTACACACAAGTTTTTTTTATGGATGTCAACTTCAGGTTCACTCAGATTGTAACATGTGTTTAAATTGACATTAATTGAAGAAGAAGTAAATGCGAGGAAGGATGTTAAGATAAGCTGCTCATCCTTTGAAGAGTCTCTGAAACAGCTCTCACTATCTCTGCCAAATCCCTTTTGCTTAGAAAGGCAAAAGACCTGCAGTGATTGCAATGACAACGTGCTTGTCCAGAGGTTCACACGCTTGGTACATCAAGCTCAAGAAGGTGTTCAGGGGCGTTGAGCACTGAGAGCCAGTCGCAAGGCTGGAATTTTGTCGCCATCGGGGAAAAGTACCAGTATGGTGCCGTGACAAAGTACAGGTTTGCATCATCTGCCCATTGATTAGTTCATGAAATGCTGTCTGTTAGCAGTCTTCACCTGTACTTTCAACTTGACTGTCGAGGCTTTCATTGCCTCTAGGTCACTAGAAGATCCTTCTAATTTGGTATGAACCTCAAGGTTCTTTGATGTCCAGAAAGCAGGAAGTATTTGGTACATGTGGGGGAGATACAGAGACTATTTTCGCTGGGTATTCACAAGAATTTGATACCTAACTAATCAATTTATGCCTGTGATTGCTTTTTGGGCAGAGGAACTGTTGGATTGGAGGAGGCAAGCAAGTTGGTCTTTAATGTACAGTGTACATGTACATGTACAAGTGAACATAGCTGCCTACTGTGTTTTTAAAGTTTTTTTTTTTTTTGAAACTCTTGTTTGACTTTGCTGCCCTTTAATTGTAAGATTTTTGGAAAAGTTCAGAGTCGTATGCAGATCTTGTCATCTCCAAGCTAGACTGGTTTTAGTCTGTGCAGTATGGACAGTAGGTTACTCAGTGCAAAGAGGGAGTCTGCAAACAGACCTTGTGGCCATGCGTAGCTAACAAAATGAGGGGCTTTGTGCATCTCAATGGGATAGTTGGGAACGTCAACGAGGTGCGCTGTTGCTTCTTACTGTGTCTCATGTCGGCGCAAGGAGTGACTGACCTCCTCAGCTTGGCTCTTGTCCAACCGCCCCCCCCATGATCCAGTCAGGCCACACATGGCATTGATTCAAGAACTCTCAGCATTGTAACATGATCGTCAGAAGTGCCTTGGCTGCCAGGAAAACACAGCATCAGTTATTGGCAGGGAAGGGCATTCCCAAGTTTTAAAAACATGGATGGGGAAACACCTGAAGGATTTTTTGGCCCTGACAACCCAACTGCATTTGTGACCCAACCTAACAAAGAGAGTTGCCAAGGCCACGCCTGAGTAAAAAGAATCTTGCTCAATGTTAGTCAGCATGAACCCTCAACATTTTTCTTTTACATAATGCCCACTTTCATAAGGATGCCAAACCGAGTGATACAAGTACCAGTACATCAGAACAAAGAGCCCCATTTGCGGGATCTGCTGGTTACATTTTCTGGTCAGATGTCCTTCACAATCAAAATTTTTCTGGACCTCCCATACTCAGCATTTCTTTTTGCTACTGTATAAGCAGGCTGATTTTGCTTTTTAACCAAAAGGTATTGGATCATAAATGTATTTATCAAATAAAACTTTGCAGCAGCTTACTTTCATGCCCAAAACTCTGACCTTTTTTCATTTACATGTAGGCTGTTTGCAGTTATTCAGCCAATCGTCTTTTAAATGGTGCCCACAGAATATTTTCCCGATAGAATCGGAATCTATTAAGAACAAACGTCAGATTGCCGCTTGCCGCTTTCGATCAATACCATCTCATCACCTTGGTCCCGTTCTTTGCACCTCTTCCTCAGGCTCTGGGAAGTCTTACACAATGATGGGGACGGAGGACAATAAGGGAATCATACCGCGGCTGTGTGACACACTCTTTGAGAGGATAGCCCAGAATGAGGACGACACATCCCTTTCTTTCAAAGTGGAAGTGTCCTACATGGAGATTTATAATGAGAAAGTCAGGGACCTTTTAGATCCAAGGGGGTGAGTTTTTGTTTCAGAAGTGGGTGCGAATATTTAGCAAAGAAAAACAGTATTCAGTGCTGACTGATTGGGCATTTTGTTTTTAATCTTTTTTTTAATAGGAAGCAAAACTTAAGAGTAAGGGAGCACAAGATCTATGGACCGTATGTAGATGGTTTGTCAACTTTAGCTGTTTCTTCATTTGAAGTAAGTATTGTGGCCAGAAACTCTGAGAGGAAAATTTTCTTTTTTGTTTAGAAGGCAAGAGCAGTGTCAGATTATACTCTTGGGGGTTCATCCTAAGAGGCGGGGCCTAACATTTTAGAGGGTTGGTTACTGCTATTGAATGGGATTAGAACTTTGCAGAAGTCTCAAGTCCTAGTCCTATTTACTGCTTAGTACACATGTACATGTATGTTTATGTCCTTTGCAGAAATCAATTCAGAATTAGTAGCAAAAAAAACAAAAATGCACTGTGCATATGTCATTAAGCAAATATTTTATGTGCTTAGCAAAAATATATCTTTATTAAGCTGCTAAAAAAAGAAAATACCGTAGGTTGCTGGTTAGTGAAGGATGTTGGTGAATGTACATTTGCACTCAACTGACCAGCCAATATTCCAAATACATGTAAGTGCACGTTTGAGCGACAGCTATGGTGTACTATAGTTCAACCAACACTGGCAACACAATAGGTGGTTTTGACCATTTAGTTGACCACTTAGAACCAGGCACTGGGGCATGGTCATATCGCTGGTTATCAATAGCCGATTTCATTTATCACCTCAGTAAGGAGGGAATCATGCACATGAACACACCAGTACATGTAATTGCGCAAGATGTCATAGACCTTGACTGGGAGAGTTGTTGAAGGTGAGTGACAATGAGGTTTGACAAAATAGTTAAATGGGGGACGTTCCAGTGTAAAGCTGTGCATTGCATGTGTGCATTGTTACGAAGCAGTGGATCCGGACTAGGTGTTGAACTACTGTACATGGAGTACGCACCTGAACTTGCCCTAAGACGACTCATTTTGTACATGTAAACCAGAATATAGATGCCTTGATGTCAGAGGGAAACAAATCCCGGACGGTAGCTGCAACCAATATGAACTCGGAGAGCAGTCGGTCACATGCAGTCTTCAATATCACGGTGACGCAAACCCTGACGGACATAGAGACAGACGTGAGTATATGTCCCTTTCTTATCCATTGTCAGATGGGAAGCAATCTCTATAAAAAGCTTGTGTTACAATTTGAAACCTGAATATATTTTTAGAAAATGCATAACTGATCTAATTTGAAATCGGCTTTACGTAGAGGTACATGTATATATGTGTAGTTTTGACTTTCCTAATGCATGACTGCATTACGTTTTAAATGTTTGTGCGTCTGTGTCTACTTGGTGCTAAGTTTCCCCAGTAGTACCATCTTTACATGTGTGTGTTTCCCTTGTGTTCCTTACCTCCCTATTTTAGGAAAGTGGAATAGCCATTAGCATGGTAAGACAATGCAAATGCCATTCATTTTCAGACTCAACCATTTTGCTCGAGGTATCGGAATGGTTACAGGAGGGGGACTCATTTGAATTTTTCTGTTTATTAAGAGGAATGCAACATTAAACTTTCTCTGCCCTTTGTTTAATTTTTTTTTCAGTTTACTTGACTTTGATGTTCTGTTAATAAAAGAAATGCATGCAAGAGGCTTGTTTCATGAATTAACCCAAACTCCCCATGAAACTCTAAAAACTTGAAAATTATCCATCACCACTCTCACTTGTCTTACTTCCTAGGGTCAAGAGGCCGAAATGGAAAGTATTGGTAATAGTGGCTGGGTTTTGCCTTCCTGAATCCCAGAAAAAACAAGTAGAACCTCTTGATGGATTTTAAAGGTTTTTGGAGGATTGCAGTAAATTGACTTGATTGATTCAAACAAACAGTGATGTTACAGCAAGTTGTCCTTGACAAAGCTGTACAAGTTCCATGTACAAAGTGGATCTCAACACACGCAAATACTGCACATGCCGGTGCGCACACCTGTATGGTGCATGTACATGTACATACATTTTCTGATGGTCTTCATCCATCTTTGTCCAACTCTATTTTCAGCGCTCCTCAACATTGGATAATTGAGTGGTGACATTAGTTTCTATGGCAACCTCTCATCCGACCCCCTCATACACTTCCATTCATGCCTTAATTTGGGTCATGCTACATGTATGTACATGCATGTGTAATTTACTTTGCTTCAAGCAGACCTTTGCATGCTCCTGGTTATACTGTACTTTCATGTAAAAGGTTTTTCTTTAAAACATTAATACATGTACTGTACATGTATATACATGTACATGTAGTAGGAGTCTGCACAAATTGTAAGAGCATAAACATATTTACATCTGTGAAATAGTGGTAACAGGGTGGAAGTTCCAGGATTTTTCCAAATTTCAAAATTGTGGATATCTTGAAATTTAATCAGGTGTGTATTGCTACATTTTCAGCATTTCACATAAACCACCCCAAGAGCAAGTTTGTCAAAATTCTAGCTGTTTGGTCTGACAATCCATATCTCTTTGGCTATTAAAAGTATTGAAAGATGACAGTATTTTCAATCTCGTCATTATTTGATATGACCCTGCCTGGGTGTTTTGTGGATTTTTCGTCATTCCCAATTTCACCTTGGATAAAGCATCCTAATTTGTATCACTGGGGACTGGATCTCACATAAGAAAATTTTTTGAACTTATGGCAAATAGGTTAAAATGAAATCCTGATTCAGTGTGATAAGAAAACCAAAACATTAAACACTTATTGAAAGAGCCTCCTGCCTGTCATCTATTGCAACCCCCAAACCCCCAGCCCAATCTAATGTCTCCCACTTGGACACTTCAGCAATATTTATCCACCGAAATGACGGGGGGGACCTGTTCCACAAATATTCCCCAAGACCACTTCAGTCAGTCCTCCATGTCGGTTTGCCCCACATTTCGTCCTCATCATCGACACTTGCTCCATTTTTTTTTTAACAGCTTTGCACCCATTGCATACTGTTTATATGCATCCATATGCTTTGCAGCAGGGACCAAAGTGAATACATGTACCAACAGTCCTCACATAAACAGACTGAAAACCTGTTCTGTGTTTTAGACTGGTTGTAATTGTCATTCAGCAAACCTCTGGAGAAGTGATGATTTTAAATGGCTTAGAAAAAAAATGGCTAAATATAAAAAGAATCTAGCTTTTTGTTTTTCTTTTTTAAGAAAAGGGATTGGAGATTTACCAATTTTCTTCTGTGCTGGTATTTGTGTTTTTAAAGGAGCTTTTATCCCCTTTTTACATGTTTTGAACTTGTAAATGTGTATTTTGTCAGAAACTTCCAATTAAACAAAAAGTCAAACCACTGTGCAAATATACATTTACATTTGTAAATACCGTACTTACATGTAACAAAGAACAAAAATTGCTTGGGGAAGAGGAAGTTTTGGGAGATGAGGAACTGGTTCACTTGGGGAGATCTGTCACTGTATTGAAAGAAAATTAGATGATGCAAACTTAGGCTATTCTAGCAAAGTACAATGCATATGTACCAGTAATGGGCAGTGTGCATTTCAAACTTTATTGTGGAGCTATTACTCTGTTTAGTTTTCACTATCCAGCAGGGAAAACCAGTCATTTAACTGGCTGTTGTGGAAATATTTTTGGAGCACCTCCCTCAATCACAGATAAGGAAATCTAAATATTTTCAGCAAAACACCCAAGTTCCACCGCTCTCCTGGAAATCAATTTCCCATCCTCTAGCCTTCTTGTCACCCTGAAGATGGAGCGACGTCCCTGCTTCCAACCTCCCTGGAGAATACCTGGTCGAAACTTGTCAGGCAATTTTTTCCCCCTGGACTTTCATGGAAAGGCAGTCTTGGCATAAACCATTGCATCTGAGGGTTGGGGAGGAGTGTATTTTAATCTATGAAAAACTGAAGATGCAGAAAATTTGACACAAGATGTGCGATCTGGTTTTCTCTTTTTTAGAGAGCTTTGGTTGAATTTATTGTTCAACTATAAAACAACAAGTCAGAAACATGTCTGCAATAAGGTGAAAAAAGGAGCAAATTATGTTTCTATCTGAAGATTACTGAAGACAACCTGTGTTTCCTTTTGAGAAAACCCTTGAGATTCCACCGTCTCCCTTGCTCTCTCACTCTCTCTCTGATTGTAGTCAATCCCTTGAGTTCTCCCTGCAGCGAATCATTAAAAAAGCATCTTGCAAATTGCACTGCACTTGAAATTACATTGCGAAGCGTGGTTGCATTTCGGTAAAGTTAAAAGCAGAGATTGTGTCCATGCTGCAAGGTTACAAGGCTTTTTCTAATTTTTGGAATTTGTTGTACACAATACCATGATTTGTATCACAAAAAGAGAAAGTCACAGTGAATAGCAGATTCATTTTCCAAGATGGCTTCTTTTTTATGTCATCAACTTCTCTTTTTAACAGCTTCAGTCATGTCAGTGAGTTCCTTTTATCCACTGAAAGCACTTACTAACTTTCCTTGACCTGTTATACATTTGAACTGTTTCAGACTTTTCCTCCACTTCTTTTTACTCTAAAGAGATATGAAAATTTTCTTCTAAATTAGGAGATGACAGTGCAGAAATGTCTGATATCAATTTTTTCCCTTGCTCTTATCATATGAGCTCGCAGTATAATTTACATGTACATGTACCATGCGTACTGTATTGACTTCAGCTTATCCACAGATACGTACATGTACATGTATGCAGGATACACACGCATATTGTGAATGCTACGCACAAAGCACCTTAACTCACTGTTTGGTGAACACTTGGACTTAGGCATGAAACAGGGGATACAGAAAAGACATGAGAGTTGCACTTTGGCCGCACACGATGGACATGTGTGCATAAATTTACACGAACCCGAAATCTCAGGTTTTAATGATGCTACCTGGTTGCGTGTGTGTATGGGGTCATTATACTCTTGGTAGAGATGATATTTTAATCAAAATGTAAATGTTAACAGTTAAATGCCAATTGTTATGCTGCATTTTTGTAACCAGCTTTTTGTAACCACTAATTATTATGGTTGTTCTTGTAAACTTCAAAAAACCCAAATGAGTTTGGGGAAAAACAACAAATTGCATTTGATTGCAGTTCTTGTATTAATTTGAAATGCCTTAAATGTCAGAAAGTACAAAATTATGTTGCATTTGGTGCAAATACTTGATGGATCTACATGGTAAAAAATGCAATATCAGTGGTTCTTGCATGTTTTAATTTTGCAGCAAAGAGATTATAATGAAGAAGCCGGTAAAAAAAATTCAGTCGCAGATAAAATATTTTCAGAGTTACGGTTGGGAAGTTTGCCCCGAGGTTACGCTGACTGTGTCCTCTGTCAGTCTTAAAATACAGCTCATGAGTTAAAATGGTGTCTCCCATAACAAAATCGGATCATCGTCACTCGCAAGAAAATATCTATTGCGGTATTACGGACTGCATCAAGTGTCCCTTCTGGGCAGCGAGTGTAACAGCTTGTCATTCTAGACAACTAGCGAGGGGGGGGATGTCTGTATTTGGAGAGAAAATCCTGCTGAAATACCCCATAGCATATTTGATAAAGCCCCAACTTTTTTCTTTTCTGTTTAGGAGGACCCTTTTTTATTGTGCATGTACATGGGAAAAAAAATCGGATTGCTTACAAGAATCTGCAAGAGGCACATGTTTTGGGGAATCACTCAGAAGTAGGTTTCAGGAATTAAAAGAGTCAAAGAAAAGTCGGGCATAGCCTGTTTTTAGATCTAAATTTACATGTAAGATAAAATAGATCCTAATTTGGCCATAGATTTCCAAAGTTGACAGCAATTTTGTTATTCAGTGCTGTTTATAATTTCTCCACAACTTCAGAATTGCTGCTAGAATTGGTCAAAGATTTCTTCACCATTTTCTAAATCTTAGCCTGATTTTGTTTAGGTTTGTGCCCGCAATTTGAGGGCAAGATAGAAAAGTTCCAACACTTCATAACACCTTCATTAGCCCAGTTCAGGAACGTCAGCACAGTTTGCTGATATGACTTGGGCATGAGAAGACAGCTCCTAAATATATCCGTGCATCCAGTATTTACGTTGTGGCTGCCCCCAGCTGCCTCATTTATTTGGCTCTCCTGACACCTTTACAAGGAGAGAGACCATTTGCTTGCAGTTATCTCAAAGAGCCAATCAGGTGTTTTCTCTCAACTTTGTCCTAAATTTACAGGCCCTGTTGAGTTTCAGTGTTTTGTTCGCCAAAAATCAGTCTTAAAGTTAAAATCTTTCAATAAACTGTGTTATTTTCTGGGACAAGTAAACTCTGTCAGAATAAGAGCTTTCAAATTTCAATTGATATTGGATGACACTAAAATTGTTTTTGAAAGATCCCAAGAATATGCAAGGCAAATATCCATGAGAAAGGGCTTGAGAAACAGATAAAAGTAAACCAAACAAAGAAACGTTTGTGAG